ACTGCTGCTGCTGCTGCCTACTACTACTACTATACTGCTGCTGCTGCTGCTGCTGCTGCTGCTACGCTGCTGCTGCCACTAACGGGCCTGCTGCTGCCACTACTGCTGCTGCTGCTGCCACTACTACTACTGCTGCTGCTGCTGCTGCTGCCACTACTGCTACTGCTGCTGCTGCCACTACTGCTGCTATTTGCTGCCACTACTACTGCTGCTGCTACTGCTGCTGCTGCCACTACTGCTGCTGCTGCTGCGCACTAGTGCAAACTGCTGCTGCGCCGCCACTACTGCTGCTGCTTCTGCTGCTGCTGTTGCTGCTAGCCACTACTGCTGCTATTTGCTGCCACTACTACTGCTGCTGCTACTTGCTGCTGCTGCCACTACTGCTACTGCTGCTGCTGCCACTACTGCTACTGCTGCTGCCACTACTACTGCTGCTGCTACTGCTGCTGCTGCCACTACTGCTACTGCGGGCTGCTGCCACTACGCTGCTGCTGCAGCTGCCACTACTGCTGCTGCTGCTGCCACTACATCTACTACTGCTGCTGCAGCCACTACTACTGCTGCTGCCACTACTACTACTGCTCTGCTGCTGCCACTACTACTGCTGCTGCTGCCACTACTGCTGCTGCTGCCACTACTACTACTGCTGCTGCTGCTGCCACTACTACTGCTGCTGCTGCTGCCACTATTACTGCTGCTACTATTACTGCTGCTACTAACTGCTGCTGCTGCCACTACTGCTGCTGCTGCCACTACTGCTGCTGCTGCTGCCACTACAACTGCTGCTGCCACTACTACTGCTGCTGCCACTACTACTGCGGCTGCTGCTGCTGCTGCAACTACTGCTGCTGCTGCCACTATACTACTGCTGCAGCTGCTGCCACTACTACTGCTGCTGCTGCTGCCACTATTACTGCTGCTACTATTACTGCTGCTACTACTGCTGCTGCTTCTGCTGCTGCTGTTGCTGCTGCCACTACTGCTGCTACTGCTGCCACTACTACTGCTGCTGCTACTGCTGCTGCTGCCACTACTGCTACTGCTGCTGCTGCCACTACTGCTACTGCTCCCTGCTGCCACACTACTGCTGCTCTACTGCGCTGCTGCCACTACTGCTACTGCTGCTGCTGCCACTACTGCTACTGCTGCTGCTGCCACTACTGCTACTGCTGCTGCCACTACATCTACTACTGCTGCTGCAGCCACTACTACTGCTGCTGCCACTACTACTACTGCTGCTGCTGCTGCCACTACTACTGCTGCTGCTGCTGCCACTACTGCTGCTGCTGCCACTACTACTACTGCTGCTGCTGCTGCCACTACTACTGCTGCTGCTGCTGCCACTATTACTGCTGCTACTATTACTGCTGCTACTACTGCTGCTGCTGCCACTACTGCTGCTGCTGCCACTACTGCTGCTGCTGCTGCCACTACTACTGCTGCTGCCACTACTACTGCTGCTGCCACTACTACTGCTGCTGCTGCTGCTGCTGCAACTACTGCTGCTGCTGCCACTACTACTACTGCTGCTGCTGCTGCCACTACTACTGCTGCTGCTCCTGCTTCTATTACTGCTGCTACTTGATTAGTGATGTTTGGGTAAAATGCCGCCTAACTGACCCTCATACATTCGATAAAATTTAACCTTAATATATAAAGTGCAACTGATAAATAATTTTAACATTTTTATAAATTGATCCTCAACTTCAGAGGAGCAGGTCTTCCAGTTTTCCCAGGAGCAACGCAAGAGATGCTCGCTACGACTAAATTAAAGGTGCTTTCTCAATGGGTTCGGTGCCTCTTCGTTAAGGTGCTTCTCTGGAAGAACATTTTCTTAATGCATCGAAAGCCTCATTAGGTTTTCCCCTCGCTTTTTTTTTTTTTTGAGTATACTTGATTATCTATTAGATTTTATAATTTAGTTTTTAATTATGTACATTACAGGACAAATGTTTGCTGGCTCTGAAACGTGTGAGGTAAACCTGTCAGGCTAGGGAGGTACATCCCCCATCCCTCCCTTTCCATGGATTTTTGTACGTTCAGTAAAAGTTAATAATAATTAAAAAATGTTGACATGTTAGTTCAATAAATTTAATTCAGCGCCTGCTGTGTAGGCGAAACGTCTCGTAATAAAGATACCTAACTGTTCCAAATGTGCCTTACGTATCTACTTGTCGGTAGTGAACTTAAAAACTTACCAACAAAGAAAGTGGCCGTCGCAGCAGAAGTTTTAACGAGGCTTTTCTCCTTGTACCTGACACTGCGATCACTTAACCTCACTTAACTCGGCTGGCTACTCACATATGACTACATGGCCTCTTTTTTTCCACCTCATGACCTCTCTCTCTCTCCAGATCATATACATGCTCACGCCTTGTTCCCTATGTGGGCGAAATGACTTCACAAAAAATTGCTCTAACACGCATTTTGTGCCTTACATTACTTTACTTTCTCATGTGATCATGTGTTGAATAACCTGAGATATTGTTGTGTCGTGCAGGAGTAAGTGTGAAGCTGTGGGCTGCTCCTTCCTGCTGCTGATGGAGCCACAGGGGCTCCTGGAGGACCCGGCCACCATCTCTACACTCGTCGCCTCCGACAGGTTAGTCCTGCTGTGTGAGCACAAACAGATAACAGATCTTGTGATTTACGTTAATCAGTATTCCGAGGCTGTCTGCTGAGGACTGACTACTGTCTACCTACTGCTAATGTTGTTTAAAGAGCTAAGAATATATTTAGATTTTGTCGCCTAAGCTGCTAGTTTATTGTACGTAATATAGGTTAGTTTAGGCAAGATTCGTCAGGAAACAGGACAAGTGTCTCCTGATGCAGGTTTTAGTCATATGATGACCCTCCATTGGAGCTTATAGACATCTGACCGAGGCCTTCCGTTGGCTTACTGGTCCACCCTTTTAAAAATTAAAATTATTAACCACTGTATATCCCAGCCTTGCGATGAACGGCAGCTGTTATTAGGGCAGAGTGTGAGGGAAGATATATCAGAAGTGGGGTGGCAACAGTGTTACCTTTTAAGTTTGTGTGTTAGGCTAGGTAAAGTGTCCGTTTGCACACGGTGATATATACATACATCACCAGTCACTACTTGCTTAACCCATTCTTCAAGTCGGTGGTCACAACTTTCTGGGATTTGCAGTATTTTGTTAACCACTGACAACAAAAACTCATGGTAAATAGCCTAGTTGGCCCGGAGTTCACCTTAAGTGAGTATCTCCTACAGGTCAGTGAGCTCACCCTCCACTTTTTCCTACAGGTCAGTGAGCTCACCCTCCATTTTTTCCTACAGGTCAGTGAGCTCACCCTCCACTGTCTCCTATAGGTCAGTTGTGGCGCCTCTGCTGAAGCAGAGGAGGAAGGACGGGAAGGTCAACTACATGTACGGCGGCGCCTCCAGCTCTGTCTGGAATCAGTTCATTCGTGACCGCACCTTCAGGTAAGTCCTACAAGGGAGAGGCCTCGATACTACTGAAAGGCTCTTAATCCAAGGATTTGCAGTTACCCATCTCCTTCCTTGGAATAAACCTGATAACCTATGACCCTCTGGCACTGCTTGTGAGGAAGATGATTAAGAGTGGTGCTGTAGAGCACATCAGTGATCTACAGCACCACTGATGTGATCTACTGCACCACTGATGTGATCTACAGCACCACTGATGTGATCTACAGCACCACTGATGTGATCTACAGCACCATTGATGTGATCTACAGCACCACTGATGTGATCTACAGCACCACTGATGTGATCTACAGCACCATTGATGTGATCTACAGCACCACTGATGTGATCTACAGCACCACTGATGTGATCTACAGCACCACTGATGTGATCTAAAGCACCACTGATGTGATCTACAGCACCACTGATGTGATCTACAACACCACTGATGTGATCTACAGCACCACTGATGTGATCTACAGCACCACGTGACCGACTCCCACTGAGAGGACAGACGATTAAGTCTCGATTATTCTTTTCGCCGGATAATTCACTGGGAATAGGTAAACATTACGTTGATTTGTTGAATTCATATTAAGCGCTAAACCCATGTGGGTCTTTCATCATAAGATGTGGTGTAGGCTTGATCCTCCGTCTGCTGAGCGCCAGGAACACGCGCTTCCTATTTGTACTCACCTGGATGTCACAGCAATAAATTGATAAAATGAAATGAGGTTGGGGAGAGATGGGCGAGGTTGGGGAGGGATGGGTGAGGTTGAGGAGAGATGGGTGAGGTTGGGGAGAGATGGGTGAGGTTGGGGAGAGATGGGTGAGGTTGAGGAGAGATGGGTGAGGTTGGGGAGAGATGAGTGAGGTTGGGGAGAGATGGGTAAGGTTGGGGAAAGATGGGTGAGGTTTGGGGGAGATGGGTGAGGTTCGGGAGAGATGGGTGAGGTTGGGGAGAGATGAGTGAGGTTGGGGAGAGGTGGATGAGGTTGGGGAGACGGATAGATGAGTAAGATAATTAGATGGTGAAAAAAATTCATATGGAATTAGAGTTGAACCCATGCTGTTTTGGCCCGCCTGATGGTGGTGATCAATACCACTTGTTCCGTGGCTACAATAATATTATATACTGCTTGTTGAGCTAGTACACAAACAGGGAGTAGAATGAAATTAACTCAGAGGCGTCCACACCACCGTATGTCCTTCGATAGTGGGTACAACATCTAGCTTGGCTGGATGCACCATTGTTAGGGATTGTGTGGTCTAGTGGTCTAAAGCGTCATGCATTTTCTCTCACCATGAGGCGGGCCAGAACAACATGAGTTCGACTCCTTGGCTAGTGCAGTGCTTTATATATATATATATATATATATATATATATATATATATATATATATATATATATATATATATATATATATATATATATATATGTCGTGCCGAATAGGCAGAACTTGCGATCTTGGCTTAAATAGCAGCGCTCATCTTGCCATATAGGACAAGTGAAAATTTGTGTATGCAATTATTTCGCCACAATCATTCTGAACCCAACGAAAAAAATATATTTGATTGTGTTTGTTTAGTACTAAATTATTGTAATCGTATTTAAAATATATTTAGTTGGGTTAGGCTAAAATAAATTGCTCTTGTTATAATAAGGTTAGGTAAGTTTTCTAAGATTCTTTTGGTGCAAAGTTAAAAATTTTTACATTAACATTAATGAAAAAAATATATCTTTAAACGTATAAGAGAAAATTTCAGAAAGGACTTAATTTTAAATGAGTTCTTGCTAATTGACCAGTTTTACATATTCGGCACGACATATATATATATATATATATAATATATATATATATATATATATATATATATATATATATATATATATATATATATATATATATATATATATATATATGTATATATTAATATATATATATATATATATATATATATATATATATATATATATATATATATATATATATATATATACATTATATATAGTATGCAGGACAAGCCACGGGGAGTAGAAATCTTTAGCTAAATTACTTTCACACTTCTCAGTGCGTCATCAGGAGCTGTGCAATATTGCAAGGGAGCAACCAAAGCAGGGAGAGACGTCTCAGGGTAGCGCAGGTGTCACCGGCCACGGTTACCCATAGAGTCTAAGGGTAAAGATTCCCCCCCTTTCCCTTTGGCTTGTCCTGCATAGTTAGGATCGCCCGTCTGCAATTGTTTGCATATATATATAGTATAGTGTAGAATATTTCAAGCAGTGTACATCAACCAGTAGAGGTCAACCAGTGTACGTTAACCAGAACAGCTCAACCAGTGTACGATAACCAGAACAGCTCAACCAGTGTACATCAACTGGTAAAAATCAACCAGTATAAGTCAACCAATACAGGATACTCAAATATGGGTCAACTAATATAGGCCAACCAGTATGTCCTTCCCAAAATTGTTTTGCAAACTGTTGAAATGCATTTTTGTACAAATTAGGAGTAATATATATGCAGGTGTGAGGTGAGGCCAGGCTAGCTAACTTATTCCACATGACTCTCACCAGACAATATGGAAATGACGTACCTTAATTGAATATGAAATAACTTGCGGTACATTGCTTCATACATGTTATATAATATATATATATATATATATATATATATATATATATATATATATATATATATATATATATATATATATATATATATATATATATATATATATATATATATATATATATATATAACGTAATCAATACTCAGTAATAACTCACATGGAGGCGGAAACACAGGAGGTTGTAGATAAATGGCCCAAAGAACCGACAAGTTGATAAATTAGAAACATGTGCAGCATTTGGGTATCTTTGTTGAGGAAACGTTTCGCCACACAGTGGCTTCATCAGTCCATACAAAGGAGAATGGTGAAGAAGCGGAGGAGTTTGAGGGACTGATTACCTTAAACTCCTTCTGTTCTTCACCATTCTCCTTTGTTTGGACTGATGAAGCCACTGTATGGCTTCATCAGTTACCCAAGTGTTGCACATGTGTCTAATTTATCAACTTGTCGGTTCTCTGAATCATTTATCTACATTCCTGTCAAACAGCAACATCTTGGGATCTTAATACAAGGAATTCTTCACTTACCTAACCTTCAGGCATGACCTACTTCCACATGTTGATTTGTCAAATGTGACACCACCTACGACTGTTGCACCTCACCTGCCTACAGTATATAAGTCACTTCTTCGCATATATGCTGTATTCATAAGAACATAAGAACATAAGAAAGGAGGAACACTGCAGCAGGCCTGTTAGCCCATACTAGGCAGATCCTTTACAATTCATCCCACTAACAAACATTTGACCAACCCAATTTTCAATGCCATCCAAGAAACAAGCTCCGATGTGCAAGTCCCACTCAAATCCAACCCCTCCCACTCATGTACTTATCCAACCTAAATTTGAAACTACCCAAAGTCCTAGCCTCAATAACCCAACTAAGTAGACTGTTCCACTCATCAACTACCCTATTTCCAAACCAATACTTTCCTATGTCCTTTCTAAATCTAAACTTATCTAATTTAAATCCATTACTGCGGGTTCTCTCTTGGAGAGATATCCTCAAGACCTTGTTAATATCCCCTTTATTAATACCTATCTTCCACTTATACACTTCGATCAGGTCTCCCCTCATTCTTCGTCTAACAAGTGAATGTAACTTAAGAGTCTTCAATCTTTCTTCATAAGGAAGATTTCTAATGCTATGTATTAATTTAGTCATCCTACGTTGAATGTTTTCTAACGAATTTATGTCCATTCTGTAATATGGAGACCAGAATTGAGCTGCATAGTCTAGGTGAGGCCTTACTAATGATGTATAAAGCTGCAGTATGACCTCTGGACTTCTGTTGCTTACACTTCTTGATATAAATCCCAGTAATCTATTTGCCTTATTACGTACGCTTAGGCATTGCTGTCTTGGTTTAAGGTTGCTGCTTACCATAACCCCCAAGTCCTTTTCGCAATCTGTATGGCTAAGTTCTACATTATTTAACTTATAAGTGCTAGGGTTATGGACACTCCCGAGCTTCAGAACCTTGCATTTATCTACATTGAACTGCATCTGCCACTTTTCTGACCAAGAGTAGAGTTTGTCTAAATCCTCCTGAAGTTCCCTAACATCTACGTTTGAATCAATTATCCTACCTATCTTCGTGTCATCGGCGAATTTGCTAATATCACTAGTAATTGCTTCATCAAGATCATTGATATATATTATAAACAACACGGGCCCAAGACTGATCCCTGTGGAACGCCACTTGTTACTGATCCGCACTCGGATTTAACCCCATTTATGGACACTCTCTGCTTCCTGTCTGTGAGCCATGATTCGATCCAAGAGAGCACTCTTCCCCCAATGCCATGAGCTGCTACTTTCTTCAACAGTCTTTGGTGCGGAACTCTATCAAATGCCTTACTAAAATCTAAGTAAATAATATCAAATTCTTTATCGTGGTCAACAGCCTCAAAAGCTTTACTGAAGAAAGTTAATAAATTAATTAGACAAGACCGGCCTCTTGTGAATCCATGCTGAGTATCATTAATCAAGCTATGCTTATCGAGATGGCTTCTTATAATCTCAGCTATAATTGACTCTAGTAATTTGCCTACAATTGAGGTCAGGCTTATTGGGCGGTAATTTGACGGTAACGACTTGTCCCCTGTTTTAAAAATAGGAATTACATTAGCCATCATCCACATATCAGACACTACACCTGTTTGAAGAGATAAATTAAAAATATTAGTTAATGGTTCACAGACTTCCATTTTGCATTCCTTTAGAACCCTTGAAAAAACCTCATCAGGACCCGGTGACTTATTTTGCTTCAGTTGGTCTATCTGCTTCACAACCATTTCACTAGTGACTGTGATGTTACATAATTTATCTTCTTCTGGCCCACTATAAAAATTAATTACCGG